TGGAGGGAACATATCTCAACATAATTAAAGCCATATATAACAAACCCACAGCCAACCTCATTCTAAATGGAGAAAAATTGGAACCATTCCCATTAAAATCAGGAACCAGAAAAGGATGTCCACTATCTTCACTGCATTTTTTCTGCTTTTCTCCCATCCCATTCCTTATACTTTGTCTCTATCTACTGGCTGGTCATGTCACTCTCTCATTGCAGGGTTTTCCACTCTTTTCGCTTGCCTCAAAATCACACGTGTGTCAGAAACCCCTTTCCTTTCTCTGGATATAGGACGTTGTTTCCAGAGATAGGAACATGCACTACTTCCTGTCCAGGACAGGATCTCGCCTTTCCTCTCCCTGATGATCTAATTGTGGGACGCTGCCTTCTGGGACTTGGAAATAGCTCGAAAATAATAACTAGAACCCAAGCAACAAATAAAAGGACACTTTGTTTTGATGCCTGGTTCTCCTTGCTCTCATATTGTGTGACCAATACCAAACCCCTTTTCCTCCTATTCCTGCCCTGTCTCTCTCTCTTCCTCATCGGCTGCACTTTCCTGCCCAGACTCATGATCCTGCTTCTACTCCCTATGGAGAGAGGATTTTCTTTGTCCCCTCTCTGCTCGGTTCTGTCTCTACCTCCTACCTGCTTGCTCGGTTTTTTCTCTATCTCCTCTTCACTCTGTACTTAATCTGTCACTATGGGAAACACCCACTCAAAGTCTCAGGGCCTCACACCTCTTGCTTGTCTTCTTAAATCCTTAAAACAACTAAAACTTTCCAATACAATCAGGCCAAAACGCCTGAAGTTCCCATGCACCACTGCCTGGCCTCAGTATGAGTTAGATAATAACTCTGTTTGGCCAGACTCTGAAACCTTAAACTTCAATATTTAGAGATATTTAAAAAATTTCTGCCATTGTAAAGGCAAACGATCTAAATTACCATACATCCAAGCTTCCTTTGCTCTCCATGCTAATCCCTCTGTCTGGGTCCCATGTTCTTTCCATCGGGTTCTTTTGGCTAAGACAGTTTCATGGGATCCCAACCCACCAGGGGCCTCCCCGCCACCCCTTGACCTCAGCTTTTGATCCTATCATAGCTGATAAACTGCCTCTGATTAGGAGATTAGGACCCATCCCCAACCTCCTCCTGCTCCCCAGCCTCAGGCACAGCCAAGTCCTCCCCTTGCTCTCCCCTTGCTATACTCTCCCTGCCTCCCATTGCAGTGCCCAACCCATCTCTACTCTGTTCTCCAACTCAAACTCCCTCTCCGCACCTTGACTTCTCCCTCTCTAGCACCGTTCTAAGTCCATCACCCACTCTCCTTCCACTAACTCTCCTCTACTTGAGGAAATCCAAACCCTTAAACACCTCCTTGCCAAATATTCCCTAGTCTCCCCTATTCTGGCTTCTAGCTCAAATAACCCATTTATCCATCCTGTACCTACTTCTACTTTTGATTCCAGACCCCACCTCCAGTATCCCTGCCCCTGTGTCCCCTCATGGACAGGACACCCCTCCCATTTCTCCCACTCTGGCTCTTCCCAGGACTCCCCTTCTCCCAACCCCTCTCCTATGTCAAGCCATATTCGCTTCCACACCCAGTCTCAATTCCCTGCCCATGGTATCTTCTCTGTGAGTAAGCTCAGTAAATTCACTGGTTCCCCAGAAAAACTTTAATGGTTTGATACTACAACTTAAAAGGGGGAAAAACACTGCTTAGCAATCCCCAGGAAAAAAAGTCTCACAACAGATAAAAAATTTGTTTGCTA